GACACGCCCAAGGGGCAGGCTCGGGCGTGCTCCCTGGCGGCCTCGCACGGGCCCGGCGTCGTCGTCACCAGAGAGCCTATGCGCTGCGTCTTCGAGGTCAGGAGGCTCGTCCCAGCGAGCGCCAACGACACCAAAGTGTTCCTGGCGGACTACAAGGACGCCATCACCCGGTTGTCGGCGGCGAGTCCCCCACCGAAGGGCGACGGCGCGGGCCAGCCTGAGGACCTCGAGCACGAGGCGGAGGCCCTGTTCGAGAGGTCCGTGAGCCAACTCCCCCCGACGTTCCGGCGGGAGGCGGCGCTCGACCCTGATAACATGGAGCGCGTGCGGACTTTCCTGGCCCAGCCGCGCTGCGCCAGGGCAGGCACCTGGAAACGCGTCTTCGGTTCTCAGCCGCCCAGGGGCGCGCTGGCCCGGATCGCCCGCCTCTGCGGTGCACAGCTGGACAGCTCCGCCTCGTATTGCAATTACCGCACCGACAAGGCGTTCAGGGCCGAGCTGCGGCGCGTGCAGCACTGGTACCGACCGGGGCGCCGACAGCGACGGTGGCGCACCGGCATCGTGCGGGACCGGCGGCAGGCCGCCCACGTCAAGGGCGTGCGCAGCGTCATCACGCGGAAGGTGCGCGACCACTTCCGCAGGATGCGCCGCCGCGTCAAGGTGGAGGGCCTGGTGAACTGGCGGGATGTCGCGCTCGCCACGCGGCAGGCGGGCATCCCCGTCCAGTCTGGCACGGTCCCAGTGGAGCGGTTGTGGTCCTGCTTGGAGGACATGATGCCTGCAGCCGCGCGGGGCGTATCGCTCCGGTGGTTCAGGGTCCTTAGCATGGTTATGTTCATGCGCTACAACTACACGCACTTCAACAAGGACAACCTGCCGACGATGGCAGAGCGGGACCCCCTGCTCGGCCAGCGTCTGGCGACGATCGCCATGCTGGCTCGGGCCGTGAACGAATCCGATCAGGGCTTGTCGCACCTGGCGTTTCTTTTTGACCCGTTCGGCTCGTGCTGACGCGCCGCGGGGCGCGATTTGTTTTTGTCCTTCCCTTTTTCGGTTGGCGCCCGCGGCCTTGGCCGCGCGCCGCGCTGTTCGGTAAGGCGCCCGGAGGTGCGGAGGGGGATAGGCTACCCCGCGCTGCAGACCTTCACTTCGCGGCGTTGCTGTCGGTTGCCAAGGCGCTTCCCTGATTGAGCAACGCTGTCATTATTGTGTTCGTGCTGCGCGGTCCCCGTTGCATTTTCGTTGCGCGCGTCCGTTATCGCGGAGGCCGCGCGCGGTGCCGCCGCCGCGGCCGCGGCCGCGCGCGGCATTTGTGATTGGACCGCTCAGGAGAGGCAGAACCCCAAAAAACGAAGTGGCGAAGAGGGGGAGGGCGAGAGGAGACGGGAGGGGCGGCCCTGGCGGCAGCGGGGAGAGGGAAGGCCCCGAGGAGAAGGGAACGCTGAGGAGGGCGATGATGGGGAGAGCGAAATCGACGCACCCGCCTTGTTTCTAGGGGACTTTCCGTGGGATCAGATGTTTTGCACGTGTCGCAGCAAGTTGTTCAATATTTTGGGCGTTCGGGTCCCCTCGCATTCCTCTTCTTCTCCATGCCAGAGGGGTGGGTTTCTATCGGAGTCGATTGAAAAGCGCGCTTGTGCTGTAAAGGAAAACAGATCCCACGGGAAATGATTCGCATTTGGCAGAGTTTGCTGAGCGCCCCTGCTCTCTCGGGGTGATAATTTCTATTCCGGTTTTCCCTTGAGCTCTTCCCTTTTTCATGCGTTTGCTTCCTCCTCTACCTCGCCCCCCCCCTAGGGTTTAGGGTTTAGGGTTTAGGGTTTAGGGTTTAGGGTTTTGAACATTTTCAAGTTCCCTTTCCCCCGCCTGGAGAGTGAGCCTTTTCAAGCTCCCTCTCCAAACCAAGAAACGAGGGGAAAGTGAACCTTTTCAAGTTCCCTTTCCCCCGCCTGGGGAGTGAACCTTTCCAAGTTCCCTCTCCAGGCCCAAGAAAAGAGGGGGGAGGTGAACCTTTTCAAGTTCCCTTTCCCCCGCCTGGAGAGTGAGCCTTTTCAAGCTCCCTCTCCAGACCCAACAAAAGAGAGGGAAAGTGAACCTTTTCAAGTTCCCTTTCCCACGCCTGGAGAGTGAGCCTTTTCAAGCTCCCTCTCCAGTTTGACCGCAAGCGGGAAAGTGAACCTTTGCAAGTTCTCCTTCCCGCGACTGAAGGGTGAACCTTTTCAAGTTCCCCCTTCAGGCCGACCGCAAGCGGGAGAGTGAACCTTTTCAAGTTCCCTCTCCCGCAGCTAGAGAGGGAACCTTTTCAAGTTCCCTCCCCAGCCCACACGCACGCGGGAGAGTGAACCCTGTCAACTTCCCTCTCCCGCCGAGGACGACAAGGTTGGAAGCAGGAGGGGAGGATCGGAAACGTACAGGTGGCCACTTCCCGTGGTGACGCAAACTCTGCGCCAGCACGACCCGGTAACTCCCCCTTGACCGCCGCACGCGGCCGGGGGAGCCACTCAGGACACAACGGGGCTTTCAACCTCGGAGGCCCGCGCTGGACCTGACATCTGGGGCGGGGCTCGCGCCTGATACTCCCCCTACTCAAGGCTCTGAAGCCCAAAAAAATAAGGACAGTTACAAGGTTGGGAACGACCCGCTCGGATTACTGACATGATGTGGCGGCCCCGCGGGGAAGGGCTCCCGCATGGGTTCGGCGCACCAGTTTTCCGAGCTGTGGCGCACCGACCTTGGCGCTTGCGTCTGGGGCCGCGCGGGCCGCCCCGCCCCGGACGCGACCAACGCTCCCGGCGGCTCCCCGGAGGCTCTCGACCCGTCTCCGATATCGATTGCTCCGCGGGCTCGTGTCTGTGGACCCCGGGGCCTGAATGGGCCCCATGGGCGCATTCAACCTTGCACGTCGGGGACGACGACGACGACGACAGCCACGACGGCGGCAACGACGGCGACGACGACGACGATCACGGCGGCGGCGGCGGCGGCGGTGGCGACGGCGGGGACGGCGGCGGCGGCGACGAGGACGGCGACGACAACGACGGCGGCGGCGGCGGCCGTGACCGCAGGCCTGGGCCCGGAAACGTGTGAGAGGTATGCCGAAATGAGCGGCGGGCACGCAAGCAAACTGCGCCACTGGATCTTCGGTGGAGCTCCCCATTGGTCCACGAAACTTGTCAGGGCCATGCCGGCAAACTGCGCCACTGCATCTGAAGTAGAGCTCCCCAGGGGCCCACGAAACGTGTGAGGGGTATGCCGACATGGGCGGCGGAGCCTCCCCATGGGGGGCCACGAAACGTGTGAGTAGCGTGGCGCGGACCCGTGAGGCTGCGTCTGGGGCCTCTGCGCGCTGCGTCGGGGGCCTCTGTGGGCAGCGGGAGGGGCACGAAACTGAACAAACAACATGGTTGACCGATACTGTCCTCGCTCAGGCGGGGCCTCCCTGGATTGGCAATCGCCGGCCGACCCGCCCGACCCGACCCGCCCGTCCCGCCGACCGACTCGGCGCCCGCCCGCCGGTCGCCCGGCGATCCGGCGATCCGGTGATCCGGTGATCCGGTGATCCGGTGATCCGGTGATCCGGTGATCCGGTGATCCGGTGATCCGGTGATCCGGTGATCCGGTGATCCGGTGATCCGGTGATCCGGTGATCCGGTGATCCGGTGATCCGGATCCGGTCCGGTGATCCGGTGATCCGGTGATCCGGTGATCCGGCGATCCGGTGATCCGGTGATCCGGTGATCCGCCGACCCGGTGATCCGGCGATCCGGCGATCCAGTGATCCGGTGATCCGGTGATCCGGTGATCCGGCGATCCGGCGATGCGGTGATCCGGTGATCCGGTGATCCGGTCCGGTGATCCGGTGATCCGGTGATCCGGCGATCCGGTGATCCGGCGATCCGGCGATCCGGCGATCCGGTGATCCGGTGATCCGGTGATCCGGTGATCCGGCGATCCGGCGATCCGGTGATCCGGTGATCCAGTGATCCGGTGATCCGGTGATCCGGTGATCCGGTGATCCGGTGATCCGGTGATCCGGCGATCCGGCGATGATCCGGTGATCCGGTGATCCGCCGATCCGGTGATCCGGCGATCCGGCGATCCGGTGATCCGGTGATCCGGTGATCCGGTGATCCGCGGTGATCCGGAGGTCCGGTGATCCGGTGATCCGGTGATCCGGTGATCCGGTGATCCGGCCATCCGGTGATCCGGTGATCCAGGGGTCCGGTGATCTGGTGATCCGGTGATCCGGCGATCCGGTGATCCAGCGATCCGGTGATCCGGTGATCCGGTGATCCGGTGATCCGCGGTGATCCGGAGGTCCGGTGATCCGGTGATCCGGTGATCCGGTGATCGCGCCCCCCCCCCGCTTCCCTTGTGAGGTTTGACCTCGAAATGGAAGGCGAGCCGGCTGCGCCGCATTAGGAATCCCAAGTTCCACCCCTTCATCGCCCCGAAGCCAGCTGCCTCGTGAACGCGCGGTTGGCAGTTTCATTAGGTCGGGCATGTCCTCCTTCACTCGTCCTATTAGGTCGGGCATCTCCTCCTACAGCCAAGAAATCATCAGAATTGTTTCCCCTTGATGCGATTTTGACTATGTCCAGTGCATCTCGTTGCACCTTCTGTCTTATTTTTTTTCGCAGCACACAGTGCTCGCTTGAACCGTGAAAGCGCAAGGCAGCGCACAAATCCTGTGGACGCCTCCAGATGGCCAGACACAAAGGTGTGCGCTGATGTACGGCTTCGTGAGTTTCCTGAAAGGCTGCATGCAGCTCCCTTACGGGCCCGCTTGCGCCCGCTTGAGGCCCTGATTTCTGATGTGCGGCGGCGGTTGGAGCAACGCCGTTTTCATGGTCCATGCTTCAGGTGGAGGAGGAGGATTGAAACCAATGTTATTTCGGTAGTGGGAGAACGAAGGAGGTCTGACTAAGAGGTGTCATGCTGTGTGCCCCCCGAGCGGCCCGCGCGCTCTGCTCGGGCCTGGGATTGGGGCCCTTCTGCAGGAGATGCGGCGCGCACACCACAGGCAAGCAGACACCGAGAAGTGCACTGACTGGAAGTCGTCGCACAGTGATTTCGGCCGCACGTTTCACTTAGTTCATGTGTCTCTGCCTTGTATCCTCTAGATCATGATTTTCCAAGTATTCTCTTATCTGCGAAACCATTGTGAGACAGCTTCGATGATTCTAAGTGGGAAGCCCCCCGGCCACATGAGCCCAAGGTGATCAATCCGAGGGACCAGGTGCCTCCAGCCTCCGCAGCCGAGTGGAGATTTGGTCGGCAATCCGTGCCCTTCCCGCTTGCTTTGTTTTGCTTTTTCAGCTTCGAAGGTCTTTCGTGTCAGCCTTTGCCCCGCGCCCTCACGCGTGGCTCTGCCCGGTCCCTCCCTGTGCTCAGGGCGTCCCTTCGTCGCCCCAGTTGCCGCGCGTTCAGGGCGTGGCACGGAAATCTCGAGAGGCCAGCGCTCGGCTGCAGCAGGCGCGGCTTTGTTCTGCCAACGACGCAGGGCCGAATCGGGGCACTCGGAACTTTTGCATGGACTCATAGGCGCGTGGCACTCGCCGACTCCTTTACACTCCTCCAGTCCCAGGACCCCAGGGGCGCCCAAGACGGCCTAAGATACCTCACATACGGCCCCAAGATGGGCTCAAGAGGAGGAGCATGAAGCGAAATTTTGGGTTCTTCGCCCCCACACCCCTCCCCACCCCTGCTCACACTCCATTCCAATCCTCCCCACTCCATCTCTCCCCACTCCCCCGCATTCGTTTGCATTTGTTTTCGACTCTATCCCACTCCCCATACTCCCCGTCGTTCCACTCTTCCACAAGCCATTTCATCTACATGCCAGTCAACTCCACTCGACTCCACTCTGCTCCTCTCCTCCGCGCCCCTTCCTGCCCAATCGCATTTCTCTCGATCCATCCTCTTGTCATTTCTCCATGCTCTTCCCACCTCTCCTCATTCGTCCCCGTACTCCACTTGTCCTCACTCCTCCCCACGAATATTCCCAGGGAGATCACATCGTCCAAACGAATATGAAGCCAATGACGATCTGCACCTTTAAAACCAGCGCTCCCACGCATTCGTTTGCATTTGTTCCCAACCATCCTGTGGTGTTGGGTCCTCGTTTTGAACAGACAGCGCCCGCGTCCTTCCTTCCTCCCGCTGCCCTCCCTCTCCCCATAATCAGCATCCCCATCATCAGCATCACCATCTCGTCTCGGAGCCATAATGGCTTGGGAACTCGTCAGATTTCAGCTTCGGGGTGTTAACACTGCAAGAATCATCATCGTCACGATCTTGGTCGCAGCATCATCATATATCTTATCTCCCCCCTCCGCTCCTCGAATGTCCTGCCGTCTCCGGCGCGGTCGGTCGGTCGACGTTCGGTCGGTCCCTGGGGCCGACTGAGGAGGAATACGAGGAGTGAGGACTGAGGGGCCAGGGCCAGGGCTTACTGAAGGCTAGGCTTGCCGAGGGTAGGGCTTACCTATGGCTTTAGGTTATCCCTAGGGTAGCCAAAGGGTAGCCCTGCGGTTAGCCCAGAGGTAGCCTTTAGAGTTGCCCTAGGGTAGCCCCTAGGGGTAGGTAGCCCTAGGGGTAGCCCCAGGGTAACCCTGGGGAGCCCACCCCTAGGGGTAGGCCTAGGGTAACAATGGGAGTAGGCCCTAAGTGTAAGCCTAGGGTGGCCTTAGGGGTAGGCCTGAGGGGAAGGCCTTGGGCAGCCCCAGGGGTAGGCCGTAGGGGTGGGCCTAGGGTAGCGCAGAGGGGCAGGCCCTACGAGTAAGCTTAGAGTGGCCTTAGGGCTAGGCCCGAGGGGTAGGCTTAGGGGTTAGGCCTGGGGTAGCCTTCCCTCGGGCGATCTATAAGGCAGACTTGGGAGAGCTGCTCGACTTGATGGCGGCCAACCGCTCCAGCGCAGGGTTGCCGCCGCAGGCGGTAGCGCCCGCTAGCCACTCCACAGACGTGTACGGGAAACACCGAAAGCTGCTGAGGTCGCTGTACCACAGTAAATTCCCGCCCATGCGCTTCCAAGTGCACGCCGACGCGCCCAAGGGGCAGGCTCGGGCGTGCCCCCTGGCGGCCTCGCACGGGCCCGGCGTCGTCGTCACCAGAGAGCCTGCGCGCTGCGTCTTCGAGGTCAGGAGGCTCGTCCCAGCGAGCGCCAACGACACCAAGGTGTTCCTGGCGGACTACAAGGACGCCATCACCCGGTTGTCGGCGGCGAGTCCCCCACCGAAGGGCGACGGCGCGGGCCAGCCTGAGGACCTCGAGCACGAGGCGGAGGCCCTGTTCGAGAGGTCCGTGAGCCAACTCCCCCCGACGTTCCGGCGGGAGGCGGCGCTCGACCCTGATAACATGGAGCGCGTGCGGACTTTCTTGGCCCAGCCGCGCTGCGCCAGGGCAGGCACCTGGAAACGCGTCTTCGGTTCTCAGCCGCCCAGGGGCGCGCTGGCCCGGATCGCCCGCCTCTGCGGTGCCCAGCTGGACAGCTCCGCCTCGTATTGCAATTACCGCACCGACAAGGCGTTCAGGGCCGAGCTGCGGCGCGTGCAGCACTGGTACCGACCGGGGCGCCGACAGCGACGGTGGCGCACCGGCATCGTGCGGGACCGGCGGCAGGCCGCCCACGTCAAGGGCGTGCGCAGCTTCATCACGCGGAAGGTGCGCGACCACTTCCGCAGGATGCGCCGCCGCGTTAAGGTGGAGGGCCTGGTGAACTGGCGGGATGTCGCGCTCGCCACGCGGCAGGCGGGCATCCCCGTCCAGTCTGGCACGGTCCCAGTGGAGCGGTTGTGGTCCTGCTTGGAGGACATGATGCCTGCAGCCGCGCGGGGCGTATCGCTCCGGTGGTTCAGGGTCCTTAGCATGGTTATGTTCATGTGCTACAACTACACGCACTTCAACAAGGACAACCTGCCGACGATGGCAGAGCGGGACCCCCTGCTCGGCCAGCGTCTGGCGACGATCGCCATGCTGGCTCGGGCCGTGAACGAATCCGATCAGGGCTTGTCGCACCTGGCGCTTCTTTTTGACCCGTTCGGCTCGTGCTGACGCGCCGCGGGGCGCGATTTGTTGTTGTCCTTCCCTTTTTCGGTTGGTGCCCGCGGCCTTGGCCGCGCGCCGCGCTGTTCGGCAAGGCGCCCGGAGGTGCGGAGGGGGATAGGCTACCCCGCGCTGCAGACCTTCACTTCGCGGCGTTGCTGTCGGTTGCCAAGGCGCTTCCCTGATTGAGCAACGCTGTCATTATTGTGTTCGTGCTGCGCGGTCCCCGTTGCATTTTCGTTGCGCGCGTCCGTTATCGCGGAGGCCGCGCGCGGTGCCGCCGCCGCGGCCACGGCCGCGCGCGGCATTTGCGATTGGACCGCTCAGGAGAGGCAGAACCCCAAAAAACGAAGTGGCGAAGAGGGGGAGGGCGAGAGGAGACGGGAGGGGCGGCCCTGGCGGCAGCGGGGAGAGGGAAGGCCCCGAGGAGAAGGGAACGCTGAGGAGGGCGATGATGGGGAGAGCGAAATCGACGCACCCGCCTTGTTTCTAGGGGACTTTCCGTGGGATCAGATGTTTTGCACGTGTCGCAGCAAGTTGTTCAATATTTTGGGCGTTCGGGCCCCCTCGCATTCCTCTTCTTCTCCATGCCAGAGGGGTGGGTTTCTATCGGAGTCGATTGAAAAGCGCGCTTGCGCTGTAAAGGAAAACAGATCCCACGGGAAATGATTCGCATTTGACAGAGTTTGCTGAGCGCCCCTGCTCTCTCGGGGTGATAATTTCTATTCAGGTTTTCCCTTGAGCTCTTCCCTTTCTCATGCGTTTGCTTCCTCTACCTCGCCCCCCCCCCCATCCACGCTCTACCCCGCGAGGAGCGGCCCCGGCGATAGCGGGGAGAGGTGAGGCCCCGAGGAGGAGGAAATGCCAAGGAGGGCGAGGGGAGGAAGGACGACGACGCACCCGCCTTGTTTCTGGGGGACTTTCCGTGGGATCTGATGTTTTGCACGTGTCGCAGCAGGTTGTTCAACATGTTGGGCGTTCGGGCCCCCTCGCATTCCTCTTCTTCTCCATGCCGCAGGGGTGGGTTTCTATCGGAATTTACTGACCAGCGCAGATTTTTTATAAAGGAAAGCAGATCCCACGGGCAATGGCTCGCATTCTACTGACGTTTGCTGAGCGCCCCTGCTCTCTCGGGGTGATATTTTCTATGCAGGTTTCTCCTTGAGCTCTCCCCTTTCTTTTGCTTTTGCCTCCTCCTCCGCCTCTCCCCCGAGGAGGCCCCGAGGGGAAGGGAATGCCGAGGAGGGCCCCGAGGAGAAGGAAATGCCAAGGAGGGCGAGGGGAGGAAGGAGTCCACAGGGATGGGTTTCTATCGAAGTTTATTGAAAAACCACGCTTTTCATTTATCAAGGAAAGCAGATTCCACGGGACATGGCTCGCATTTCACGGATGTTTGTTGCGCGCCCTGCTTTCTCGGAGTAACGTTTTTCATTAAGGTTTCTCCTCGAGCTTTTCTCCTTCTCTTGCTTTTGCTTCCTCCTCCGCCTCTTATCCCCCTCTCCCCGCCACGCTCTACCCCGCGAGGGGCGGCCCCAGCGATGGCGGGGAGAGGGAAGGCCCCGAGGAGGAGGAAATGCCAACGAGGGCGAGGGGGGGAAGGAGTCCACAGGGATGGGTTTCTATCGAAGTTAACGGAAAAACACGCTTTCCATTTATACAGGAAAGCAGATCCCACGGGAAATGGCTCGCATTTCACGGATGAGTGTTGCGCGCCCTGCTTTCTCGGAGTAACGTTTTTCATTAAGGTTTCTCCTCGAGCTTTTCTCCTTCTCTTGCTTTTGCTTCCTCCTCCGCCTCTTCCCCCTCTACCCCCCGCGTTCTACTCTGCCCCGTTAGGAGCGGCCCGTGCGACCCCCCTCTCCCCATCCACGCTCTACACCGTCAGGGGCGCCCTCCCCCTCCTTGTCCTCCTCCTGCTCCTTCTCCTCATCCTCCTCGTCCTCCTCGGCGGCGCTGAGCGGCGTTGGGTGGCGCAGAGTGGCGCCGAGTAGCGCTGAGTGGCGCCGAGTGGCGCTGAGTGGCGCCGAGTGGCGCTGAGTGGCGCCAAGTGGCGTTGAATGGTGCCGAGTGGCGCTGGGTG